GTAAGTGATTTCAACGAGTGCAGGAGGAATGGCTTTAAAAGCAATGCTCATGTTTGTGCAAATCAGAAGTCCCTCAGAAATGTGCATATATACTCTATATATAAAACTGTGTGAACAATTTTAAACAGTGATGGATAAAAAAAAACAAGGCTGCTGAAATATCATAGGAGTTAATATGTTCGACAATTAACGATCCTGCAGAGGTAATGGTTTCAGGTATTTCCAAAGCAAACTCTGTGCTGCAAAATATATCTCAAAGACGCTGTGATATGAAAATTCACAAAGAGTTTACAATTGCATATCAGTGTCACTGTTCAAATTCTAGTATGAATTTACCACATCAACTATTGCCAATAAGGTCGGCTTACAAGAGCGTAGCTTCCACAACAAACAGAACGTATTTACTATCTGCACACATTACAGTCCTCAAGTCACGGCAAGGTTAATGTTAAATTTCACGCTGCTGTTCCATGTAAACAAAGCCACAGATATAACGAGAACACATCCTCTTGCCACACCTCAATACAGCTTTAAAGCAATAAGCGTCAAAAATTGTGAAACACCGTGACTGAAAGGACGTATAGGTGGGTGTTGTGGTAATAATACAAATTCTGTATTTGAAACTACTAAGAGGGAACACAGACACAAAGAGACACGGACCCATAGAATAGATCCCAAGACACAGATACATAGACACTGTGACACAGACAGAAATAAAGACAGGACATTGACATACATAAATACACAGGTAGAGACACGGAAACTCTGACATGTATACCGTCAGTCATTTCAAATTTCGCTGTTCAATTCGCTGAGATCATCTTCCTCGGGCCTACCCGGTCACCCCCCCCCTACCCCGGCTCGACTTGCTCGCCCCGCCGGGCTCAGCGCGCCCTACTCAGGGAAGACTATCCGAGCGCCGGTGACTCGGTTAGGCCCAGGCGAGCTCCGCCAACGAGAGCGAACAACATCAACCCTACAGCTCAATAAACTCTCAAGGCGAGCGCGACTTGACGAGCGCGGGCCGATGAAAGCAAACGTACCTTTAATCGGAAGGAAGATTTGTTTAATTCTGTAATAGTTTAATTATCTCAACGTTTCCAATGGCTCTGAACAAGAAGCGCTGTCAGCTGACGGCGGTGACGTCACGTCCCCAGCCAAGCCCCGCCCCTCGCAACGTTACGCCCCCCGTTTGGGCCACGCCCTCTCAGCTTAGGCCACGCCTTCTCCTACGTCACTAATTTCCCATTGGACACGAGTTCGGGCTGTTGTTGTTCCTGGTTGGGCTCCATTGGCTGCGGGTGCGGTGACGTCGACATTGGTGGGCGGGATTAAAGTCGTATTTACGGAAGTCGCGCGGCTCTGAGTGGAACCACGTGCAGCCCATGTGCCAGAGGAGGTCATTGGTGCCACCTCTAAATAACAAAAATCCTTAGCAAGTACAGATTTTTTTGTACAGACAAAAAAAGTACAGATTTATTTACAACGCTAATAAGAGTCAATTATTAGATAGCCCGGCTAATTTATAATTGTTACCGCGTAATTCACTGATTTTTTTTGGCCCAAAAGATATTGGAATCAATAATGTCATGCCACCTCATGTGGCACCGATGTGAAATTTTCGGTCTGGCCTCGTGGCATGTTTTGCAACAGTTGAGAGTTGCAGAGCTGTGTGTGCGTTTCTCGCGGTGACATCCTCACGCATCTCATGTGCACGACTGTCGTAATATAGTAATGCTGTTTCGTGTTGCATATTTATTTGTTAACGCACCTCACACGCGTGATATATATGTTTTGTAATACTATTTAGCATTCAAAATAACACGTTTGAGTTGTATTGCAGGAATGTACAGTTATGAATAGTTCTTGTAATTATTCCGAATTAGCAATGGCAACCAAAGCTCAAAGGAAATGTAATAATGAATGGCAGCCAAAGGGGGCATTTATATGCCATTACAAATTCTGCAAAATAACAGGATACTTGGAGACAATGAGACTCATGGAACTGGTATGTCGATGTTCATAACTTGGGCATTTCTATAATACACAGATTAATAAATGTTAAACATAAAAAATATCCAGCCCAAGATGAGTTGGTTAGGCTTATTTGTGGGATTCATTTCTCAGGTAAGCTCTCAATTTCCGAGTCGCTGGTAGCCTGGAGTCGGCACGTGACCAGTAGCCGCGGGCCCAGTGAGAGGCCGAATGGATGTGTGCCAGGTGCGAATCGATTGTCCGGTTCACTTATCGAGATGACCCTCGTCGGGCAAGTATTTGGTAGCTAGTTTGGGTCGTACTATGGTGTTTGTTTTCCATTTGGCTAGTTTTGGGCCACTTTTTGTTTCTGCTGCTTGCAGCACAAACTCGGAAACTAAATTGTCGCTCTAATTATAACCTTAACTCGTCGACAAGACACCAGTAACGTACCAGCCGTCTGATTGAATTCTAACAATTGCCCCGAACACATCCTATGCCATTTTGTTCCCGTTTGTTTTGGTGTTTACAAAACATTTAAAATTTGAAAAGCGAATATGTTAAAATGGCTCTTGTTGAATCAGATGGTTATGGGTTAGAATAATAACTTTTCTCTTTTCATTTTTAATAGTTTTCTCAGTACAGTACTTCATACATTTATTATCATGTGTAGCTGGTCAGTCCTCTGTCCTGCCGTGATCGTAATGAGAGAATATGCCGGCTAACAAAAATGCATTCGGGAACGATAGATGTTATTTTGTTATGCACTCACCTCGCGGCTGGTTGAGATGACTGGACACATTCACAAAGAGGGAACGCGAGTGGGTCTTGTAACGGCAACACTTTATTAGAAAGCGCTATTCTGAGTGGCTTTCGTATCTCTGCAAGTGACAAAAAGACCAACCACACGTCACAAACACACCAACCACCCTCTACTCATTCTCTCTGTAGGCGGAATTTAAGTGTTTATTCCTGTAAACCGCCGCCCAGATTGTCATAAAAATAAACTATAACATTCAATGCAACTTAATAGTTTGTTTTTATTATCACTATCCAATCGATCAGCAAGCAATAATGTAACGATTTTAATTTGTAGTTAACTTTAAACAGCTATGCTGGCTTACCAGTGTCCTGCTGAGCCAGCACTGAATAGAGAGCCCCTGAACATCTCATAGCTGCAATATGCCCCAGGTGTCATTATGGTTGTGGCTTAGGGTCCAATCGCCAAGTCACCTAAAGTAGGTATTTCACCCTAACATGCAGTATGGAATGGCAAGATGCAGTACAGTACAGAACTGCTACTTGGCCCCTCTGGGCTGCAAAATACTGATTCCTGCACAATTATAGGTGCGATTCATCACGGGTAAGCCCACACAGGCTATACATATTAGCCTGTCTAAAGACTTATTTTGATGAAAATAACACCGTTTCTAAACCAATCATCAATAAAAACTGACCACAGCTTACACATAGGAACACATCTGTATAGCTTTTGGACAAGTTTAGCAACTACATACTTACAAAAAGTATTCTAAAACATACTTCATGAAACATTTTACATGTGTGCTTGTAATGGGCTTGCTCACTTTTATTCGCATTTTGTGTTTCCATGCACACGTTTCAGGGTTAAGTTTGGAGAAGGCGAATGCGTGTTTGCCTATGAGCGTGACAGGATGTGCAAGCGTATGTGCGTGTGAGCATAGGGAGTGGGTGTGGGCCTGGAGCTATGGCCCATTTTTTGTGACACTTGTTTGTGTGTGACACGCAATGTGACGTGGGGCCAAAGTACTAGTGCTTTGTCGCTTCAGTTTGGGGAACCTAGTAAACAGAAACTGCATCTGATTTCCCAGTCTTATGTGACATGCATAGATCGGTGAATTGGTGCTTGGAAAGCAAAAGAATCGAAACTATTCCCAACCAGACAGGAGCATGGATTCTATCCATGCAGCTTCTCATCAGCACATATCACCTGAGAATAGAAAACCTAAGAGAGAGTTGGTAGCTTTCTGGAGCCATAATTTGCAATTGGTGAGATAGTGGCCAAACTATGCCAGTAAAAATATCAGTGAGTTCTTGTACCTGTGTGGGGCTTTTAATGTGGACCCCACGTATCTGCCGGGGTACTCTGACTAATATGGGTATTCTGGCTGGTTCCCATATTCCAAACATTAATGGAACTGGCCAAACATCCCAATGCAGAATCCTCCTGAAAGAGTCTTCAGACTCAGTCATGCCCGAGTCATTGGGATTGTTTTGACCATACTTCACCACACTGGTCGGCGTGGATTGGTGGCGGAGGGTCACGTACTGGTTCAGATGTATCTTGTCACTCATTAACCGCGTGGCAGAAAACCAAATAAAAAAACACTTGAATCCACTAGGCTAAGAGAACGGCAAATTAAGACGTGACGACAAAACACCCACAGGTTATCGTTCGCGGGGAGCAGGAGAGGGTGGAAGCCTATAACATAAAACCTTTTTTCAAATTTTCTTGCTGTGGATTTCACACCTGATGACGATTGCTTGTGTTGCAGTCGAAACGTCGTGATAATTTTTCTTTTTAATATTTTTATTATTTTATTATTTCCCTTCTACGTCACTTTACCGAAAGAACCAAGAAATATGAATCCCTGCAGTCACGAAAGCTTTAAATTAAAAAAATATATTTTTAAATATTTTTATTATTTCCCTTCTACGTGACTTTACCGAAAGAACCAAGAAACATGAATCCCTGCAGTCACGAAATTTTTCAATAAACAAAAATAAAACTTTGCTCAATAAATTACAACAGTGGCCCACAACGCCCTCGCCTCGTCTCGCAACAAACGAATCCGCGCGGGCAGAGACGTCGTGGAGGCTCGCGGAGTGGGCGGAGTGGGCGGGTGGACACGGCGGCAGCAGCAGCAGCAGCAACAACACAATGGAGGCGTGGTCCTTGCCGAGCTTCGAGGGAGGGGAGAACGAAGGGGCGAGGCTTCCATTGCGCGGGAAATGCGAATTTCGCGCGTTCGGGCTTTGGCGCTCAAATGCAGCAGCGCCGCTCTCTCCCTTCATTCATTGTCCGCTTCCTGGAGCCATCTTAGGCAGAAAAGCGGCTAACGCTCGTCGAGCGCACCCGACCGTAATCCGAGGCATCCTCGGCGCAGCGACCGCACAGCTTCACGAAACCGACTCCTTTCGAAAGCCGACAACCAAGTTCGACTCTAGGCTGCGATATTTGGCGTCGGGAGCTACTCGCCGAGTGCGAAATTAGCGCCGCAAGTTGGACGCGCGACCTTGGCAACAAAAGAAGAAGAAGCCATTGCTTCATTTTTCGGGGTTCCCTCCCCGTCTCTTCGTCAGCCCCCGGTCGGGTCGGGAGTCGCGCCTTCGGACCGGGTTCTCGAGGCCCATCACCTCGGAGATCAACCATCAAGAAGAACTCGCGCTCCGGTGTTGCTGGTGGTTGTTTTTCTTTAACAAACAACCAAGAGATTGTGATAATGTCTGCTGACAGAAAGCTGTTCGCCGCCGCGAGTTACCAGCTGAGTCAACTGGACGGTGTCGGGGCCAGTGCCTACGCGACCCCGCAAGGCCCTCACGGCAGGACGACACGGCCACGTCTTGGACGACCACCGGTAAAAAAACAACAATGTGGGGGTGCAACTACCCCCCCCCCCCCACACACACAACAACAAGCCTTGTGAGAGACGTGTCCGTGGATGTTGCTGAGGAGTGCGAGGAAGTTGTGTGTGTGTGTGACTGCCGTGGCGACTTTGGAGAAACTTTTGCGCGCAAACTTTTGTCACAAAGCCATCGTCGCTAACATCACCACCACCACCATCATCATCATCGCCATCACCACCACCACCATTCCGCTACCCACCCACCCCCCCACGTCTTTCTCTTGTCTCGTCGCGAAATGGCTGCTCGTTTTCCGTACAGTAGCGGGCAGGGGGAGACTGAGAGAGACGGAACGAGGCTCGTCTGGCCGCAGAGCTTTGATGTTCAGTTCGAGTCCGGACCCAGGTCCATTATCGATAAGGCGAGATGGGGGCGCGCGGAGGATCGATTATATCGGACTATCGCCCCCCTTTCCTCTCTTGTTTTCAGCTGCGACAGCTCTCCCTCACCCCCCCCCCTTCTTGAAATGTCAAAAGTGTTAAAATATATATGATGTGCAACATTTTGTAGGGCTGCTAAAGTTTGGTGGGGGGTACTATCCCGTGTCGTGGCGTCTAAACGGGTTGTGGTGGACGTGGATTGTTGATCTGAGTGGGGGGTGATGGGGGGCACCTTTTAATCGTTACCACCCCCCCCCCAAAAAAAAATAAGTTATTTGTGTATAAGATGTTGCTTGTGTTGCTAATATTGGTGGGGGGGGGGGGGGGCACGCTGGTTCGCTTCGTAATAATTGTGGTATTGGGGGAGCGGGGTGGGTGGAGGGTCAACTTGCCCCCCCACAACCTTAAATGTTTGTAGTGTTTACACGGCTCTGTATTATTGTGGAGTTCTAAAAGTTTCTGAGTGTGCGGTTGCGGGGTTGCTGTTTGAGCCCCGGCCTCGCTGTCTGCTTTTGTTCGTGATGGAGGCCCTAGGCCGCTCCCGAAGCCAGCTTAAACACACAGCACCACACGCACACTCGGGCTGCGTGGTGCTCAACATTTGTTCTTATTGTTTGTCGTGGGTTATAATCTCAGTTGATTCGCGATGTACATTTTTTTGTACATCTTTAATAAATCCAGGATTATTAATGACACTTGGAAGTTTAGGCAGTTAGGGCTGGGTTTGAATGGAGACCTCTCTTTTTGATGTGTCCCCCACGGCCTTTTGGGTCGTTTTGTGTGAGATGGTTTCACGCCGTTCATTGGAATACAAAATACACACGTGTTGACAACCTAACCTACTGTTGTCGTTTTGTGAATCCACTGAGACTTTGTGTGGGGACAGATGCACGTCAGAAGTCAAGCACTTGCCTACACAAACTAGAATGTTGAGTGGCTGCTTTAGCGTTGGATATTTTATGATCGTCTTATCTGCACATCCACTTTTGTCAAACCACTGCTGGATGAGGGCCCCTCCCCACGCCGTGTCATTGGTTTGGGTTGTTTGACCATACTTCACCACGCTGATCCTGCTTGGGTGGGCAACCTATGACCTGTAGTGGACGGATGGATTGTTATTCATCCGTGCACTATCCAGACTCAGACCTGCTTGGTTTCTGAGATCCGACTGGATCGGGCACATTCCTTGTGATTTGGTCAATGTATTGTATGGTATATATATTTAGTGTTGTTTTCTTGGATGTGGCTGTCAAGTGCCCTTTTGGCTTTCCAGGAATGTTGACCGGGACCGAGTCCAAGTAGAATCTTCGTCCCCTGGCAGGGCAAGCTGGTGGGCTTACTCACAAAGGGGGGGTAGCCCACCCCATTGCCCACGTGTAAGTGGGCCCCACCAGAGTCTGCCGTCACTTTTGGCCACAAGCTTTCAATGTAGCTTTCGATTAAGCTTGTGCGAATATCTTCCCGTCGACGGCTCCCCCAGCCAGCCAGCCCATCCACCCAACCCACTCGCCTGCCAGTTGATGAGCCTAGGCCTCCAGAAGAATGGAGAACAGGGCTCTGTGGGGGTGGGGATGGGATGGAGAGGAATGCTTATGGCTTCACTCGTCAAGAGTAAGGTTGCAGGCGCATTTTGCGTGGTTGTGGAGCTGCCGCTCGCTTCGGGCCGTGGTGTGAGCTTGTACTTGACAGTAGTACAATGCACACTCAATTTTGCGTATTCACATCACAGTTTTGAGCAGTTTCCGAGCCGGGTCTAGCTCATAAAATCCACAGGAGGTTGATGCATTTGTGTGTAGTAATTGGCCTGGGTGTAAAATGGTCTTTTAACAACAGCACAATACGATATTGTATAACAGGGATTTCATACAGCAGGGTCTAAAAGCGACCACATCTCAAAATTCTGTACAAAAACTGAGCATATTTTCTAGAGCCAAGGCAGTCTGTCATAAGTTTATATGCAAGTCTGAGTCCCCATGCGAGTCTATTGGTCTCTGTGCGAGTCCATACAATAGAGCTTGTATTTATGGCATCTAAATGCGACCGCATCTTGAGGCGCTGTACAGAAACAGTGAGCGCATTTATTTTCTAAACAGAGGCAGTCAGTGATCGACATTGGTAAAAAGGAAGCTTTGGAGCTTGGACTTGAACAACAGCAGGGAGTTGATAGCATGAGTGGCTGGGAGAAGCGAGTTATAGGCAGTGGACTCAGAAGAGGAGAATGAGTGACCTACTGAGTGCTTGGGTCTTTAGGTTCCTTGTGTTCAGTGTCTGTCACTGGAAACGTAGGGTCAACCGGCTGTGATGCCCCGTGCTGATGTATTGATGGACAAGCCTTTTGTCAATCTACTGCTGGATGAAGTCCTCCCAGTGTGTCGGCCATGGAGATTGTTTGACCATACTTGGCCACGCTGGTCAGTGTGGGGTGGAGAAAGGGGGGGGGGGGGGTCGTGTGTAGGGTGGCAGTGCCAGTTCTGATATGACTCGCCACTGATGTTAGCCGTTGCCATTAATTGAATTTGGGTCACTGGGCTCAGTGCGATAGCCATTGTGCCACCCGTTCCAGCCCAGTTCCTTGGTGGGAGCAGTAATAAACTCATTAGTGGAATGTCCTCTCCCGCCACATGATTAGCTCAACTTCAAAGAGGGCCGTGACAAGATGCGTGGGCTTTTGTCTGCTGTGTTGGCAATGAGCTGAGGGTTCCCTTGGGCTAGGCCATGCTGATGAGCATCCATTACAATGAAACCACACGGCTTGCCGGTGCTCAGAAGGTGGCGCCTGTTGGACGTGGTCATCATGCCCTAGCGTGATGGTCTTGGTCCCATAGAGACAGTGAATGTATGCACCATTGAGCCATTCCAAGTTTCATCACAGGGAGATGATCTGTAGATATGAAGCAAACAATTCCCGGTGCGGGAGCTATTCAGTGGTTGTTGATTTTTCAAAAGAACCAAACAAAAATTATCTTGCATTTCCAAAATTCCTTGAGATAGGGGCTTACATTGCACTCCATTCATGCTAGGAGAAGGTCTTTAGAAAATACAATTCTTAAAAAAGTAAAATACTAAAATATTAAAATGTTATTGTATGTGGCCATGCCCTGGTGTTTTGGCAACCTGCAACCATGTAATGCGTATACACTTATTGTCTTGTGTTGTTTGACAAATGCAATTATAGATAATTGTGCACTTTGTCCACAATTTCTGATTTAATTCTAAGTGCAAGTTATTTAGGGATTGACGACAGTCATCGTCCATGGCATTTGAAAGTTCAGTTTGTAAAATGCTGCATTGAACTTTTTCTCTGTGGCTCATTATCATGAGCCCACAGGCTTTTCAGGTGAACTCTTGACACATAAAACATAACCTATCCAATCAAATTTTGACAAACGATTTAAACAGACGCGCTTAGGTGGATTTTGGCTACGGGGGAATATTGTTTTCAACTGGTTTGCGTTTACAGTGCGTTTTGGGAGGGGCTCGGAAGAGTGCGTTATGTGTGACCTGTGGCCACAGGCAGCGTTGCATAAAATGGCGTCACCAAAAGAGAAGTAAAATTAACCGCACGTGGGAATTAAATTATGAGGTGTGGGCATCGTGCCGCCGCATTTCAGAAGTTATGGAAATACTTTAAAAGGTCCTTTGCCTAAGACGATGCTGCGCACCCTTATTCGTGGTATTGTATCGCTTTAATCCGAATGCAGTGTGATTTTTGGGGTGGAGGCATATTAAAAAGGGAAGTGTGAGTGAGAGACTGGGAGGGGGAGTTGTGGCTTTTAACAAATTTAGTTTTGTCATTTGGCTGTCACTTGGATGGCCATCCAAGTAACAAACCGAACATTTGGTTGGACATATTTAGGTTGGAGTAAGCCAATTGAATTTCAAACTTTTATTTCGACTTAAATTTGTCTCCAAGCTATTACACGACAGGTGGCAATCTGACGGTTTGATTCCATGGATGTTAGTGCTTGGCATGTCATGATTTGCCTCCCTTGTGATTTGATGAATTGTCACGATTTACAGTTCTGTTTGACTTCAGGAACATATCCTTTTCTTTTGCCATTGTGCATGTAGCACTGTTACATGGGTTACCTGAACCAATCGCATGCAAAATATAATGATAAATTATAGACCTTTGTCCATCCATTGCTGGATGAAGACCTCATGCTGTATCTGTCATGGGAGTTGTTTGGTCATAATTCATGCAGGTCAGTGCTAGTTGGTAAAGGAGAGCCACTCAGGACTTCTTCATATAGCACTGGCCACTGATGTTAGCCGTGACCCGAAATTGAACTGACAATGCCAAGATCATGATCGCATAGTGGGCTAACCACCATATAACATCTACTGATCTAAACATTTTTTTAATTGATTTCAATCTATAAATTGGTGGGTCATTACTTTCCTAATGACCTGTAATGATTATGGACTGAATGGGATGATGCCTCGCATTCAAATAACCCCCATTGTCTCTCTATATCGTGGGGGTCATATGAGCATACTTCACCACACTTGGTTATGGTGAGGAGCATAGACGGGAGAAAAGTACAGTACAACAATGTATTTTGCCTCTGCTG